CGATCCGCCTGCCTTATCTTCTTCGATCTAACCTATTGTATAGCCACCCTCACCTCTATCCTTATCTTCTCTTCTCTAGAGAAGTGGACTTGGTCTCTTCATCTAGCTTCCGAGGCATTTTTCCTGTTTGAACCAGTATGGAATTTCTTCATCAACTTTTACTCGGAGTACTTGATTCACGGCTTTTTGGCTGCGTAGATCCTCATCGGAGTGCCCATTTTCTCCTTCTCTAACTTCCTTCTCTTCCTCCTCTCCTTTCTTCTTTTCTTTCCTGGTGACTCCCTTTTTCTTTTTCCAACTCTACGTTTTTTCCACCACAAAGTGAACCGGTAAACCACCAAATACAGCGAGTTACCCGGTTTTTGACCAGTTTACCACTGGTTTAAATTCTTCCCGGTTTAAGAAGTGTATCAGACCGGACAAGTGACAAATTCACCAACTTTTGATTTCTACCGGTCAGTCCGGTTCTATTTTCTGAACATTCAAAAAAATGTATAAGAAAAATTAATTAATAATAAAATTAATAAAAATTCATTTCGTTCTCTGAAAACTTCAAAGTGAATATTATAAAAAAGGAACGAGGGATTCAAAAACTTGAATCTTATAGAAAAAGACAAATAGAGCAATTACTATTTTTCTTGTGTGTTGTTAAATAGGATTAAGGTACATCAACAAACATCTTAGAACTATTTTTTCAAAATGCATCTAACATCTTAAAATTTTAATGGTAGAATTTTACTTTTTTTTTTTTGATATAAACTATCCGGTATCCAACCGCGTCTTTTCTGGGTCCCAGCCTCTTTGGGCCAGTTGTACCCGAGCGATCGACTAGTCCGGATTCGGGCCGGGCGACAAGTAAAGCCCTCCCCGGTACCCTTTTTAACAAATGAGGATTTGAACCCCCGCCCTCAAAGAGCAGAGACTCGCCTCACTTGTGGCCTAGCCAGTCACCACTAGGCCAGGAGTATTCAGGTAGTAGAATTTTACTCTTAATATATTAATTAAAAGTGGAACAAAATTTAACCAAATGTTAACATCGGTTTTCTCCCCCTCATCCCGGTTCAAATGACGGTGATCTCAGCTCACGGCTGTGGCAAAAATCGATGGCGGGAAGGGCGTATTGTTTGCTTGCTTAGTGCTTACCCAAAAAATGCGGGAATCCAAAGACCCTGCAGGTAAGCTCTTGGGAAAGAAGATTCCATTACTGGGTGAAGGCAATGATTCTGTGATTCTGTCTCACGTGTGGCCATTGATGCCGAGAAAGCAGGAGGAGACGACAGAGGACAGAACAGATGAGGAAGATGATGAAGCAGACGAGGCACAAGTTAGTGGGTAAAGTGAGTCCGAAAATGATCAACAGATGACCCATCCGTTTAACTAACAGCTTAAACAAATCGTGGGTCGGCATTGCTTTTTCACTTCTCCTTTTATTGGGATTGGATATGATGTCATATATGTTAAGCTCTTAGTGCCAAAAAAATTTTCTAGTTTCGAAAATCTTTTCTGACTGGAGTTTGCTTGAATCTGACCTTGGGTGATTAATTAATTAATTGTTCGAGTTGTTTTCTGAAACCCAACACTACATCTAGTCTTTTCTGATCCGATATTATCATGTCTACTACGCTTTTGAATCGTCAATTCAAGACTCCTTTATTTTTCAGGTGATGTTTCATTTTTAGTACATGGGGAGTTATGGAGATCGCAGATTTTGGCACGGGAACTTCCTTCAAGTGAGATATATATATATATATATATATATGGACTAATATAAACTTTGGTTTTTAAGTTTGCCCTTATTTTGGTTTTGATTCTTCAAGTTTTAAACGATAGGTTTTGATCTCTTAAATTTCTTTCTATTTAAAACATTAATTGTAACGTACTGTAAAAAAAAAATCAATCAAAATCAATTAATTAAAATAATATAATATATTAAAAAAAAACAATACCCAGCTTTTCCACCGAAGTCGGTGGAAAAGCTGGGCAATTAGTCAAGAATAAAGAAAGAAGAGGTGCAAGAAGTAAATGGAGAAAGAAATAAGGGGTGGGCATTAAATTGAAGTAGGAAAAATGGGGGATGGGGTAGTTAGATGGTGAAGAAAAATAGGACAAAAGAGGGGGAGAGGAGACGGAGGAGGAAGAGAGATCGAAGGAAGAGAGAAGAGAGTGAGAAGCAAAGAGGGAAAGAGAGAGAAAGCTAAGTTGCAGAGCACCTGACAAGTTTTGGAAATTATTTAGGTACACAAAACTACTTCTTTTTATCAAATTTCCTTTATGAATATTTCCTATATATTTATAGCTTTATATTATTATTATCATTATAATGTTTAGAGAAAATTTTACTGTTTGGGTATAGAGTAAATATGGAGTTTTGACAATATATGACCGTAGAAATTTAAAGATACATTATTAAGGAATTTTAATTAGTTTATTTTTGTTGAATGATTATTTTGAGAATTTTAAACTAAGATTTTAGTTGAAAAGTTTGTTATTTAGACTTGTAATATGTTTTTACTGATTAAATTTGAGTTAAATAATTTATTTGAGTTATTTAATATATTATTGAGGTTTTAATCGGTTTAAATATTGAATAAATTAAATATATATTTTTGAAATAATTTTTGACTTGAAAAATTATAAATTGAGAATTTTGTGAAATTAGATAAAGCTATAGTTTGTTTATAATTTAAAAAGAAGTTGTTTGGTTTGAGGAAAAATTTTAAATGAGGTTATAATAAGTAATTGAGAATTTTAATATAAAATATTTAGATTTTAGGTAATAAAAAAATATATATACTTTTTTTAAATTTAAATAGCCTTATATGTAAATTATTTTTCAAAATAATATCTATTATAAATGCCTAGATTTGGGAGAGTTAATATATTTATGTAATTTTAGTTTAGAGGGTAGTCTTAGAATTTTAGAGTAGCTTTGGAGTAGTTTTGAGTTTATATTAATAAATATTTATGTGCAATTTTGTAGACTTGAGAATTTTGGAGTAATCTTTGTGTGATGTAAGCTAAAGAGTACCAGGTAACTCTAAAAATTCTTTCTTGTACATGTGAATTGTGTATGATTGTAGTATGAATTTACTGTATTTTTATATATTGAAATATAATATTGTGATTTTTCAAATGAATGTTTTGGTATGTTATTTGATTTTGTTAAGATTTATTGCTGTTAATTATGATTAATAATTAAATATATTGATGGCTATGGAATTGTCATGAGTTGTTATTAAATGGTATATAAGTTTTATTGCTATCTTATTTTTAATATATTTGAGGACGTATTTATGATGTAATATTATTGGCATCTGACATGCATTGTTGGGCTAAGGATAGAAGGAGATTGCATGGATATAAAATTACCACGTGGTTTGCCATCACTCAGTGCACAGTGGATGGTACTTGTCAGGGCCCCTTCTTCCATGTTTTCCTTTGGCCGGGAATTCATTGGAGCTGTGGGACATGTGACACCTCCCTATTCACAAAGGAGGGGAGCCATAGTCCGAGCTTGAGCTCTATATCTTTGGCCGGATATATCTCTACTATCGGTGAGCTTGGAATAATTCAGTAAAATGGATTAGTTTCTATCGGACTATGTGTTAGCCTATGGCTCCAGTCAGCGGTATAACGGTGGACGGTGATATAAGGGAGGCAGCATATTGCATTATTTTTGGATATATTAGAAAAATGATATTGGTATATTGTTGGAAAAAATAAAATAAAATTTAATTGGATGTCTCAAATCCGTGATTTTTAATATATTTATATACACACACATAAACGGATTTTTGGTTTATCATATATGATTTGCTTGTATAGGTTAGAATTTCAGTAGTTACTGAGACGTTTGATCTCACCCCCTATATTAAAAATTTTCAGGCGAAGGATCTAGTAGAAATCAAGGGAAGGCACCAATGGAGTGAGCCGTGAAGGCTTCTGTGCTCCTCAAGCACATGCTATGTTATATTTTTATTTGCCATGACTATAAGACTTCAATAGTTTATGTTGTTAAGTTATGTTAGAAATGTTTTGAAATTTTGACTTATTTGCGGTATTAAAAATATGTATGGACTTTTAAATTAAATATTTTATCGAGTATATTGATATAATTATGTGAGGTGTTACATTAATCCTTATAATTTAATAAAAAATCAAATAATTTTGCCTCTAAAGGACCTAAACCTATAGACTGAAATTTGAGGATCAAACCAAAATGAAAACAAACTTGAGAGATCAAAAATTATAGTAACCCTCTATATATATCATACTAAAAGTAAAACATCTCAATTGAAAGTTTTAGAGCCAAATAATCTGTCTCACAAAACTGATTATTCCCTCCTTTTACTTCATTCGTATTCCATTGCTGCCATTAATTTTTGTGACAGCCATGATCACCATCAATTGAAGGGGAGAAGAGGGAGAAAACGGACGTTAAATGTGGGGTGAGGAGTAATGCCCCGCATCCCAACGTTTCATTTCATTAATCAAAACGAGGTCATTTGGAAGTGGGAATCCTGACCGCTTATTCTAATCATACTCAATTCTACCCATTCATTGTTTATAATTTGAAACCATCGTCTTTCTCCTTACCTTAAGGTCGCGTTTGGTATGAAGTATTGAAAATGAGAAGTAAGAATGTGGATTGAAATTAAGAAAATCCATTAAAAAGGTATTTAGTATGAGGAATTAGTTATTACTTGGACTTAGATAAATTCATGTAAGTGGGATTGGAAAATGCTATAAGGAGAGGTGGTATAATATTGACATGGCATAGTATGATAAAAAAGCAAGCACTTATATGAAAGATAATGCTACAAATTTAACCAATACTTGAGAATAACTTAAGGAACCTAGATTTCTTAGACTAGATATGAATGGTTTAATTTCTTTTACAATGAAAAATCAATAAAACTCGGATTGTCCAGAGATGATAATAATATATATCATATATGTAACCAGCACATTTCCATTTGTGTAGTACAATAACTTTTGACCTAGTAATTAAGCAAGGGAAGAGAGACTATTGTTTGAATTAGAGTGAGCATAAGGAGCAATATGGCAGCACTGAAAGATGCAATTCTCCAAGGGGTGCTCAAGTACTCGTGCTTAAAGATTGCCCTATACTTGTGGTAAGGATTCTCATAAAACTTGTCCAATTCTTCACATAGAGATTGATAATCACTATTGCAAGTCATGAACATTGTGTTTTTGTCAAGAGTATTGACCAAGGAAGCCACCTCTTCATTGCTACCCAATAAGTTGTCCATAATTCCCTTCTCAACAAGCAGCTCAACGTCTTTTCCAGTGTCAATAAGATAGTTCAAGAGGGTTACATAATCAGTCACATAGCTCTCAAGAGCAAGGTGACACTGTTCAAAAGCAACCATATTTCTAATCACAATCTCAGTCCAATCACTTACTTGAAAATATGGTATTTTCAATACTCCTTTTGAGTGTTTTATCTCAGTAATGCTTTTCTGGTGTTCATCAACCTGAAATTTGATCCCTGCGCCACGTAGTTGGGTTGCATTATACACAGGTTTCAGTTTGCCAAATTCTCGTCTTGGTAATTGATCTGGTAGGTAAAAGATCCTTAACATATCATTCAGGTGATGGATCTCTTTTGTGAAAGTAGATGATTCAAATTGAGAGGTAATTGTTTGTTCAAGGTAATGTTGTTGAAAATACTTAAAAGTAAACTTGCCACGAATTTCCTTTTTTGCAATAATATGGTGTAGGAACACTCTTCTGAAGAAGTCGAAGGCTATCTCAAGAAATGATAATCTACCATTGAAGCCTGTGGGAAAAGTTAGGTCAAATAGGCCTTTAAGAATGAAAAGTGGAAGTTGATTCTCAACTAAAATCAAGTCTAGGTTTATGTCACACGTTGGCCATAATTTAAAACGCCATGGGTTTTGTTCTAACAGACCTAGACATGAGAGAAAGTACTCAATGATGAAGAAACCATCGGTTAGAATCATGCTCACAAAATCATCGCTCTTCATGGGTATGGGCTCCGAATGACAACGTCTGGTTTCATCTTCCCAGTCTCTTGCAGCTTTAACATAATCCTCCAATAATTTCTCTTTACTCCTCTTTAGAAAGTTGTTAAGGCACCATATTTTGACTTCCTCCATGGGTTCCAATCTATTGTCTCCATGATGAAAAGGACCAATTGATATCAAGGTAGGGGTGTAGGCTTCTTCATTGACTTTCCTAATTTTTGGTGGCACTTTGTAGATGCAACATCCTGATGCTAAGGGAAGCTCCGAAGAGTCTATAGCTTGTAGTTTGGCTTTCAAGGAGCATAACAAATCAAGATTTTGTTCATTTTTGTTGTCCAATATCTTCCTTTTCTCACAATCCTTTGATGGACCTGCAACATACACATTTCAAAAATGCCAAGTGATTAATAGGATTTTAACACTTTATATTCCCTTTAGCCATAAAATAAAATTTAGCTCACAAATCTTGGTTCAATTGGTAAGTGCGAGATATACCTCAGAAGAGCTTCAATACAAGTCTTGCTGTAAAAAAAAAAAAAAAGACAATTTATTTTTTTTAATAGAAGATATTATTTGCATCTGTTATTATTTTAATCGACAAGAAAAGTTTCTCATTTTCGTCAGATATCTATATAACATACTATTTACGTTTGCTTGATCTACGTCCCCCTCAAAGTAGACCAAAACAGGCTTTCAAAACAGACATAATTAACATTTTTTCAGTTGTATTGATTATCATATGTATAAATAAGCCTATGACAATATAGCCTTTTATTAAATTCAAGTTACTTCGCAATACTTAAAACTTATATCGCAACTAAAAGTTATACAAGCATTTCATTCGATTTTCCATTTATACCAAACATATTTCCAAAGCTCATTTTTATTCTTTCAAAATCCATCCCTACATAATAAATAAAGCCTTAAGATCTTATTGGTGCAAGGTTCGTTCTAATTCATCACCAAAGCTTTCAACATTTTCTGAAAAAAATAAAATATTTTTTCTTCCTGAAGATTTTCTAATGGCCTTCATCTTCCTTTTAACTAACTCCCTGATATTAGGCGATACCAGCAGAGAGTATATATTCCTCTAAAGGGACCAGCCTGCCTTTAGCTACACTTTGTTTATTCATCATTTACCCTACAAATTTCATTCTTTCTTGGAAGTTTGAGCATTTGATAGGAAAATCTGTCCTTTTTGGTGTCTCTGAATCAGATCTTTAAAGCCTCAGAATTATATATAGAACAATAAAATATCGAAAGATAGTAAGTTTTGTTGCAGATATTACAGTAAGATATGTACGAGAGAGGGAGAGAATTTGACCTGATATGTTGAATGATGAAGCCATGAAACTGAAGAAGAAGATAACATATATCTCCAATCATAAACACAAGACCTTAATTGCCAGTTCTAAACTCGTAAAGTCGTTTTTAGGCCTTTTGCGCACGATATATTATATAATAGTGGTCAATTCAATAAATCGATCTTTTTGTTTGGATGACACATGGGTCATTATCTTTTACTTTTTTGGGTTTATTTATTTAAAGCAGGACAAATTCCAATCCAAATGATTGCTAATAAATATAATAAAGTGATCATGACACCTCAACTACTTGTTTAAAGCTCAAATTTTCTCAGATTTTCATGTATTTTAAAATTCTGCATATTGTCCTCGTTAAAATTGATCCTAGACAATTAACATCGGTTAACTCTAAAAAATCCCGAAATTTCACTATATCTCAAAAGACCAAATTTTATGGGCAAAAAGACAAACATACCCTTGCTTCTTTTTGGGTTGTGAATTTTTTTATATTTCTTACAAATTGCCAAATTTGAATTGCAAATCATCGAATTTAAGTTGT